CCGGGCGGGGGGGGGGGGGGGCCGGGAGCAGGAACCGCCCGCGCAAGGGAGGGGGCCCTGGGGACGGCGCGCCGCCCCCGGGTTCTGCACCGGGCTCTGGGGCTCCTTTGTTCGTTTGTTAGGAGCCAGACGCGGCCCTAGCGGATCAGGGCGCTGCGTAAAGTTTGTGATCGCGTAGAGCGCTTGTGAAAACGCAGATTCCCAGGCGGTGCCCCAGAGCTTCCGACTGAGCAAGTCTGGGGTGAAGGTCTGGGGATTTGCATTTCTAACCAGCACCCTGGCGAGGCTGATGCTGAGGGTCCAAGGCCTGTTCACCTTAATGGCACTGCCAACGACCTTACATCTCAGGGAGAGGAAGACAGTGATAAATAAAATTAAGACGGACGTCAGGCGCACCTTGTAAAATATTTAGCTGATCAGGTTGAACATGCACTCACCTTCAGTCTGCGACTCCACTCTTTAAGAATATGCTCGAGAAACTTGTCTGTGTGCATCAAGAGATGGGGTGGAGTGTTAAAGGCAGACCTGTTATTTTCTAATTTTTTAAACTTTCTCGTTTTAAATAACTTGCAGAGAAGTTGCACAGATAGTGCGAACAACTCTTACGCATCCATGATCCACATTCATAAATTGCTAACATTAGGCCACATTTCCTTTATTTATATTTATATATTTTTTTTTCCTGAATCATTTTGAGAGTAGGTTGCATACATTAAGCCCACTTGGCCCTTAATCTTTCGGTGTGTAGGTCCTAAAAGCAAATCTACAGACAGAATGATCAAATCCAGGAAATTTAACACTAAATCATTAACTATTCCAGTTTTGCCAACTGCTCTGATAATGTCTCTCATGCACATTTTTTCCCCGGAGGCAGGATGCAGTCCACCATCTATTTATCTCCTCTATTGACTGTCTCTAATCTTTCTTCAGCTTTTCTCATTGTGCCATTGACAGTTTTCAAGAATCCAGGCCAAAACAACACTGCGAGCCACTACACAACGATTAGAATGGCCAAAATCCAAAATACTGACACCAAATGCTGATAAGGATGTGTAGCAACAGGAACTCTTCATTCATTGCTGGTGGGAATGCAAAATGGTAATGCAGCTTGGGAAGGCAGTCTGGAGGTTTCTTTCCAAACTAAATGTATTCTTACCACACCATCCAGCAGTCGACCGCACTTGTAAGTATTTACCGAAATGAATGGAAAATTAATGCCCACACAAAACCTGCACACAAGGGCACCTGGGCGGCTCAGTCAGTTAAGTGTCTGACTCTTGATTTAGGCTCAGGTCATTACCGCAGGGTTCATGAGTTCGAGCCCCACATCAGGCTCTACCCTGACAACTTGGAACCCGCTTGGGATTCTATCTCCCCTCTACCCCTTCCCCACTCAAGCTCATGCTCGCTCATGCACTCTAAATAAATAAATTAATAAGCTTAAAGTTTTTATATACTAAAAAACCCTGCACACAAATGTTTACAGAAGCTTTATTCGTAACTGTCAAGACTTGGAAGCAAACAAGATGTCCTTCAATAGGTGAATGCATAAAGCAACTGTATAATTTATCCAGACAATGGAACATTATTCAGCATTAACAGAAATGAGCTATCGTGCCGTGAACCGATGTGGAGGAAACGTAAATTCATTTCACTAAGCGAAAAAAGCCAGTCTGTAAAGGCTACCTGCTGTGTTTCCAACGCTTTGAGCTTCTGGAAAAGGCAAAATTGTGAAGGCAGAAAAGGAAGAGTGGTTGCCAGGCACTGGGGGGAGACGGGGATGAGTAGGCACTGCACAGAGAACTTCTAGGCCAGCGAAACTGTAACGGTGGACAAGTGTCATCATACATTTGTCAAACCCACGGAACGTGCACGGTCGAGAGTGAACCCTAATGTAAGCCGTGGGCTTTGGGTGATGATGTGTCAATGTAGCACCATTGATTATAACACATGTGCCGCTCTGGGGCAGACTCTGGATAGTGGGGAAGGCTGTGCATATGTGGTGGGGGAGGGGAGGTGTGCAGGGGGGAGGGCTTCCAAAAGACGGGACTGCCTTTCAACCTGTGAGTTGGGCCCAGGAAGCTCCTCATCCACTCCCCTGTCTTAGCATGTGGGTCCTGCTGCCTTTCCTGCTCCCAGAAGCTGCTCCAGCGATATCCCCTTGAGATAGTGATGTGCTGTTGAGAACATTTGCACAGTGTACTTGATTCAACCCATGTGAGGCCTCTTTATAAACCTAAGACGTGGCGGGCAGGGGCGGGGACCCCTCATTTTGCTGCCGCCCAAGACAAGCCTTGTGTCCAAGCTGCACTTGCTGATTAACCTGCCACCTACCAACCTGGAGTGGCCTGCGTCTCTCCTCCGTCTCTCCCTGCCGTCTGCAGTCACGGGCCGGTTTCATACTTCACCCGGGAAGCTTCTGGGAGGGTTGTGAACCCAGGAAGGGTGGGCAGTAGCGTGGATGGAAAATCTCTGTACCTTCCACTCAATCTTGCTGCAAATCTAAAACGACTCTAAAAAATAAAGTCTCTTTTAAAAAAGAATACAGGCCAGTTAATTTATAAAAGGTCTTTCACTGGGGTTTCTCTGATGTTTTCTCATGAGTAGATACATGTTAAGTGCTTTGACTAGATCACCACAGAAGCAGTATTGAGTCCTACTCCGTGTCACATGGGAGGAACACAATGGCCACCCTTATCAGCAATGTTAAGTTGGTTACTTGGTTGAAGTCATGTCCATTTTCTCCACTTCATTTTTTTTTTATAAGTTATAAGCATTTTTGGTAAGATATGGCAACACTGTTCTTAACAGCAGAAAGCAGAAATAACCTGCCCAATAAGCAGAAGAGTGGACTTTCTTTTTTAAGTATATGCGCATAGAAGAATATTTTACAGTAGTGGACAAGAATCACAGCGACACACAAGGACATTTCAGTCTAAACAATCTCAGACAAGCAGAGAGTGATTCCATTTGTCTAGAGTTTAAAAATATACTGAAGTACGCAAGATATTCTTTAGGAATGCAAATAATAGAGTCTGGCTCGTAGGAAACACACAGGGTAAAACCATAATGAAAATAGGATGGTAGGGGCGCCTGGGGGGCTCAGTCAGTTAAGCAGCTGACTTGGGCTCAGGTCATGATCTCACGGTTTGTGAGTTCGAGCCCTCCCCAACCCCCTGCCCCCTAATGGGTCCTGCGCTGACAGCTCAGAGCCTGGAACCTGCTTCTGATTCTGTGTCTCCCTCTCTCTGCCCCTCCCCCACTCCTGCTCTGTCTCTCTCTCTCTCTCTCCCAAAATTAAATAAACATTTAAAAAACTAATAAACAAAGGAACCATAAACCAAAACTTTGGAAAGTGGTTTCCTGTAAGGTGAAAGGAAGGACCCAGAATTGGGAGAAGGTCACATGGGGGTGAGGGGATAGGAGTGAGTGTGAGGATGCTCACCACGTCATTTGTTATTCTATATATATAAACACAAATATTTTATATGTAAATATGTTTACATATAATATATTTAAAATATATCCATATATATTTTTGTATTTAAATATATATAAATACATTTTAAGATATTATTTTATAGTTACTTGTTCTTTGATAAAAAATTTTTAACTGTCCCTCTGCATGGAGGGGAGGAGGCTGTGGAGAGGCGGAGGTGGGAAGGGCAGTGTGCCTGGTCCCCTGGGTCCTGTCACTCCCACTAAGTCCAAAGGACACCGTGGCCTCTGCTGAAACGTCATCTGGTTCTGGTTGGTCACCACCAAGGAGTCACCCCATTACCCTTGGCCCAGCTCTTCCAGGTGCATCAGCTCTATGCTGCTTCCAGGCCACTCTGCTTTGATAGAGATTTCTGGAAGTCTCTGGGAGCTGCTTGGATCGCAGGCTACCTTCACATGTCACCACCCGCCAGGCCCACAGAAGAGGACTCTAAGGGAGGAGATGTGAAAAGTGTGAGAGACTGAAAGAAGGCTTCTAGGGCTTGAGTGTGAAGAGTGGGGGAAGGGAGGGGGGACAGCAAAGGTCCTGTGCAGAGGAGCAAGACTGTGGGTGGGCGGAGGGAAGTCAAGGGAACAGTGCTTTCCATTATAATTCAACCCAATTTGTAGAAGGAAGTAAAACCAGACCATGCCTAGGGTGGCTGACCCCTGTGTCTGGGGCTGTTGGGCCTCAACAGAGCTACCTCTAACAGTATCTCCCCCCAAGAGGAGCCAGTTCTCCCCCACATGACATTAAGGACAAATTCTCTTTCATACCATGAATTTATTCATTCTTTCAATACATCCTTCAGCATCTACCTATAGCAGATCCTGCCCTGGGTGCTGGAATGCTAAGGTGAATCAGACATGCATCCTTGACCAAGAGGAACTTCAAGTCGAATACAGGTAAGACATCTATTGCTTTTTATTTGTTACATAAGCCTATAGTGAATTGCTGTGTGCCAGGTACCTATCAGAGAAATGACATCAAACTTTTCTGCAGGGAACTCAAAGCCTGAAGAAGGTAGATAAGGAAATCTTCAATGACCCTACCGTTAGGGCTGGAATGTAGCCATGGCTGGGGTACTCTGTGGGCCTCAAAGGGGGCTGGGCAACTGTCTGAGACTGCTCAGGCTGCTCTAACACAAATGCCACAGAATGGGTGGCTAAACATGGAAATTTATTTCTCATGGTTCCGGGGGCTGAGGAGTCCAAGGTTAAGTTGCTAGCAGATTCAGTTCTGGTGAGAGCCCACTTTCTGGCTTCATGAATAGCCATCTTCCCGCCGTGCCCTCACATGGTACAAGGGGCCAGGGAGCTCTCTAGAGTCTCTTCTTTTCCTTTTTTTTTAAGTTATTTATTTTGAGAGAGACAGAGAGAGTGCAAGCAGGGGAGCGGCAGAGAAAGAAGGGGAATTTCAAGCAGGCTTTGATGTTGGCTCAGAGCCCAGGGCTTGACCCCACAACCTATGAGATCATGACCTGAGCTCAAGTCAAGAGTCAGACGTTTAACCAACTGAGCCACCCAGGCGCCCCTCTGGAGTCTCTTCTATAAGGGCACTAATCCCACTCATGAGAGCTCTGTCCTCATGACCTAATTGTGTAAAAGACCCCAAAGACCCCGACCTTCAAATACCATCACATGAGGAATTAGGTTCCAACCCATGACGTCAGGGGGTGAGGACACAAATCTTCAGTCTATAGCAGTAATTTAGTCTAGAGCAGCAGCCTAGGGCTCAGATGGCAGGCGACTAGTGAACCTGGGGTGTCACATAGGTGTGTTCGCAGATTGTGATCACATTCCCACTGATTCTCTCTGACCTGTGAGTTACAAAATGAAGTGTCTCGTGCAGCCTGCAGGTTATGTCAAAAGTGAGGTGGACCAGATGGATGGATGGAGACCGTTGCCTGCGAGAGGGGCCAGCCCTGCCTAAAAACTGTCCCCATACATATCTCCCATCTACTGTTACCCCAAAGGGCCCGAGGACCTGGAGTCATGAGATCTTCTCATCTGTGAAGAGAGACTGGAAATCCAGATTATGTACATCCCCGCCATTAAACGTTGACAGCTCCAGCAATTGTATGAACATATGAATTGTATGAACTGAGGGACCAATACAGTGGTCGTCAGAATGAATGGCCCTTCTGGCCGCACACAGCTAGTTGCAAACTTGTATCAGAAAAGTGGGCCCCAGCTGCAGATGTAGCTGTAAAGACAGAGAGGGTGGGCTACCTCTAAGGGCCCAGATGAAGAAGAAACAACAGGCGTAGAGCAAACATGAGAGAGAGAGGAGCTGGGACTTCCTGGAGCAGCAGATGCTCTTGACAACCAGGCGATAGAAAGAGCAAAGGAGAAAGGAGTGTTTAAAACAAAGTCATCAGCTCTTCCCTCCCAAGTCCGGTGTCACTTGGAGCATTTTACGTTTCTAGACATCTCGAACTCCTGAAAGGAAGTTGGAGGACATGGGGACAAGGATGTCTTCGCACTCACGACTGCCACATGGTGTGATCCAGCTCCTGATCCATGGTTGCTGACTTTTATTGGAACTGTGGACGAACTGTTGGCCAACTATTTCACAATTTTATCTTCTTTAATGTTTCGTTACCATAGCCATCAGTTGGTTGCACAACTTAACCCCAGGATACAAGCCTCAGGACTTTCTGTGTCAGAAAACTTAAAGATGTGTGAGAAAGATAAGGAATTGCTGTGCAGCAGAACTGTCCACCTCTGTAGGCAGGAGAACATATCGCTTTATTTTTAAATAACTTTTTATTTTGACATAAGAATTCCAGATGCCCTATACCTCATTCAACCATAGTTAACATTTTGTCTTATTTGCTTCATAATTTGTGGTCTTGTCATACACATGTAATATACATGTATACTATGAATAACATAAATATATATAAATACAGATAGATAGATACATGTTGTTATTACCATTTGAGGTAAGTTATACCCCTTTAGCCCTAAATATTTCAGTGTATTTCCAAAGAACATAGCCACAGGATCACTATCAAAATTAGGAATTTCAATATTGATAGAATATTATTTTTTAATTCATAGCCTATACTCAACTTTCATTAATTGTTCTGATAATACTTTTTGTAGCTCTTTTTTACCCCTGGTTCAAGGTCCAACCTGAGATCATGCATTGCATTTAGGTGTCACGTCTTTTTTTTTTTTTAACATTGTTTTAATTAAGTAATTAGCTGTTTAAAATAGGAAATGTTAAGACCGTTGAACAGATCAAAGTGAAGGATTAACTTAAGATAGCCTCTATGGATACAATTTTTATTATGTGGATTGGAATTCCATTGGAAGTTTGGCACCAGGCTGACCGCTGGTCTAAGCCAAAATTTTTTCTTTAGTGTTTAGAAGTCTGAACAGGTTTTAGGGGCGCCTGGGGGGCTCAGTCAGGTGAGCATCTGACTTCAACTCAGGTCATGATCTCACAGTTTGTGAGATGGAGCTTTGCGCTGACAGCACAGAGCCTGCTTCCAATTCTCTCCCTCTTTCTCTCTCTCCAAAAAATAAATAAACCTTTTTTTTAAAAATGGAAGAAAAAGAAGCCCCCAAATAGGTTTCCCATCAGGTTAAAAGAAGGATGGGAGGAGCTATATAACAAGGCATCACATCTTTTTAGTGGAGGCTTTGCTTCTTCCTTGCCTTTAACATATTCATACTCCGAAAACCTATTCCAAATTACAATTAATAGAATTTTCTAAAAATTAGAAAAGTCAAGTTAGTTCAGTCTTTATACTGAAATACAGGTCGGAACTGACATTACAGCTTGAAATTTGCTGAATAGGAAAGCTTCATCAGGACTGTGAGGAAAACTAGATTGGTCAGAGAGGTTGAAACTCATTCTTGTGCAAATAGCCCTGTAAGGATACAGACATGGGGTTTTCACTCGTGTTACTGTGCCACCCACCTCCTCTCCCCTTCACCGTTCTCAGGCTACGCTTGAGCCTCTGTGCTTAAAACTATCTTTGGCAAAGGATCAGTTTTCTTTCTGTGGTTATCAGTGCTTCTGCCCATATTTCAGGGACTGATCCTGTTGCAAAAATGCAGTTAAAATAAAAAAAACTAGAAGAAGGAAATAAAAATAGGCACAGAAAATTCACATCATCTTTTTTCATTATTTGATTCACCTGACCAACTTTCTCAACTTGCTACCAGCTTCTAAAGACCCAGCCTGAATTCCTGAATTTATTTCACACCTCGGGTACTCAGACTGGCCTTTGAGTAGCTCTGGTCTATACTGGAGCCTGCGCCGTGTTTACCTGTGCATGGACACATGTCTCCGGACATGAGTCCCTATCGGGCAACAGCCTTCTCACGGTCATTTCTTGTCCCCCACAGCCTGGAGCAGCAAACTCCGCGTGCACACTTGGGTAGGAACTGAAAAGTAGAGGCAGAAGCACGCCTTGGAAAAATAACTCCTGCTAAATTCATGACTACCTAGCTCTAAGATGAGTCAATTAACTCCTCTGTGCCTCAGTTTTCTCATTTGCAAAATGTGGATAATAAGACACAACTTGGACCGGGAGGCAGAGGTGACACACTGCTGGCAAAGCATCAGCTCAACTATAGTACAAAGTCAAGTACTAATATCTCAGGAACAAACTACAGTCTATACTCCCTGGGCAGGCTTTTGCTGTAAAGCGCCAGATAAAAACTATTTTAGGCTTTGTGGGCCTTAAGGTCTCTGTTTCAGTGACTTTGTTCTGCCCTCGTAGTGCAAAGCAGTTACATGCAATATGTAGGGGAGGGACAGTGGCTGAGTTCTAATACGGCTTTATTTGCGGACACTGACATCGGAATCTTGTATCGTTTTCAAATGTCACAAAGTTTTATTCTTCTTTTGATTTTTTCCAACCACTTAAAAATATAAATAACAAACTGGCCATACAAGCACAGGCAGCAGGCCAGATTTAGGCTGTTGGCCTTCATCCACCCCATGCCCCGATTCAGTTACGAACGCCTGCTGTGTAGATCACCGTGGGTCTTTATTATAAATGGGGAAAGAAGGTGGGAAAAGTTGAATCTGCCATGTGCTAAGGATTAAAACAAAAATTTTTAACTTCCTTTTGCAATAACTCAGACTTAGGAAAGAGTTGGAAAAAAGTACATGGGGCACCTGAGTGGCTCAGTAGGTTGACCATTCGATCCTTGATTTTGGCTCAGGTCATGATTTTATGGTTCATGAATCTGAGTTGTGTGTTGGGCTCTGAGCTGACAGTGCGAATCCTGCGTGGGATTCTGTCTCTCCCCCTCTCTCTGCTCGTCCCTGACTCATGCTGTCTCTTTAAATAAATAAGTAAATAAATAAACTTTAAAAAAAGGAAGAAAAAGAGGGGTGCCTGGGTGGCTCAGTCAGTTAAGCATCTGACTTCAGCTGAGGGCATGATCTCACAGTTTGTGGGTTCGAGCCCCGGGTTGGGCTCTGTGCTGACAGCTCAGAGCCTGGAGCCTGCTTCGGATTCTGTGTCTCCCTCTCTGCCTGTTCCTCCCCCACTTGCTTTCTCTCTCTTCCAAAAATAAATAAACTTTAAAAAAATGAAAGAAAAAAGAAAAAGAGAAAACAGTACAAAGCATTCCTTGCTTGATTCCCCAAATGTCACATTTTACCATGTGTGCTTTTACTGTTTTCCTTTATATACACATTTTTTCCTGAACTGTTTAGAGCTGTAGACGTGATGCCCTCTTATGACCTAAAAACAAAGACATCCTCTTACATAACCACAGTGCGAGTATCAAAGTCAGTACATTAATACAAAGCTATCGTTTCATCTTTAGACTTTGTCCCCTTATCAAACTCAGGAAATTAACCCACACACCTGATTCTGACATCGTCAGCTTCCTACTAACATTCTGTATGTGCCAAATGACTTGTGTCCATCCCCTCCACTAACTTCCCCAACTACCCAGTGAGTCTGATAGTGTTATCCCTGTTTTACCAAGGAAGGAGCTAAATAAAGCTCAGAGAAGGTAAGTAACTTACCCACACTCACACCGATGGCATAGCTAGAATTTTAACTGACACGGGGCCAGCTTCCAAAGCCCTCGCTCTTCTCTATTGGAGGAGGGTCTCAGAGTTTGAAAAGGACTTCCCAGTACAAGGGGGCGGAGTTGGCGTTCCAGGGATGAAAAGCCCCTGAGCAGGAAAGCCCGTGACTGTGACTGTTTCTGTTTCTCAAGGAAAATGTCCCGTGGGCAGAGAGAAAGGAGGGAACAAATGGAATTTTAGCTATTTTGTTACATAATAGAAGAGATTTTTTTTTTGAAACACTTTTTAAAAGTAAAATATAACTTTTTAACTTATTTTAAAAACAGATACAGAACAAGACACAAAACAAATAAGGTAATGAATTCTACTAAGGAGAAAACCCTTGTGACCACCCTCCAAGTTCAAGAAACAGAACTCTGTTTCCTCCCAAACCCCAAAAACCCCTGCATGGGTGGGGTCCCAATCTCAGTTCCTCACCCCCATCAGTAACCACCCTTCTTGACTTGCATAGTTATTTCCCCCAGCCTTTAAAAACCAAGCTAACGCCTAGGGCTGCCTGGGAGGCTCATTTGGTTAAGCGTCCAACTCCTGATTTCAGCTCAGGTCATGATCTCGTGGTTTGTGAGAGGGTAGGTGTCTATCTTCACTCTCTGCCCCTTCTCTGCTCGCATGCATGTGCGCGCACACACTCTCTCAAAAACAAATAAACACTAAAAAAACCCCTAAATTAAGGTTTTTAAAGGATCCATAAGTTGTACAAAATAATGTTAAAGAAAAAATTATTCTGATACTTGTCAAAATGGTAAGGAAGACTTCCTTCAGGTTGTCGCAATAAGGGGGAAAGACAGGTTTCAATTCTAAGTAGAGCAGAGTCAGCTGCAGATTTCTAGCTGACCAGCAGAGGAGGGGGTTGTGGGTGGAAATAGGGGCTATCAAAAGGTTCTTGCTGGGGTGCCTGGGTGGCTCAGTCGATAAGCGTCCGGCTTCAGCTCAGCTTCAGCTCAGCTTCAGCTTCATGATCTCACGGTTCGTGGGTTCGAGCCCCACATCGGCCTCTGTGCTGACAACTAGCTCACAGCCTGGAGCCTGCTTCAGATTCTGTGTCTCCCTCTCTCTCTGACCCTCCCCTGTTCATGCTGTCTCTCTCTCTCTCTCAAAATTAAATAAAATATTAAAAAAAAAAAAGGTTCTTGCTAAGGGCAAGTCAAGGACTTAGAAGTCAAAGATAGGAGATGAGGAACTTGATCAATTCTCAAGAGTGGGGAGATCTTTCCCTAAACTGACTTGGTCAGAATCTTGGCTAAGACCAGGTCATGCAGGCCAGGCAAAGACAGGAAGAGCCTAACTAAAGTTTAGTCCAGGCGAGGAACAGATTCTATTAACAGGAATAACCTAATTTAACCTTACATTTTATTTTTCAAAATAAGGAGGTAACAAAACAAAATATTTAAAACAAGTTTTGTGCTTTGTCAATTACAACTAATACAGCTGGGAAAATTTAAATATGCATGTATATATTTAAAGGGAACGCTTATGTATTTATTTTTTGAGAGAGAGAGCATGAGTGGTGCAGGCACAGAAAGAGAGAGGGAACTCCATGCAGGCTCCACTCTGTCAGAGCAGAGCCCTACATGGGGCTCAAACCCATGAACCTTGAGATCATGACCTGAGCTGAAGAGTCAGATGCTCATCCAACTGAGCCACTCAGGTGCCCCCAAAGCAATATATATTGAAAAGCAAAATAGAACTCCCTTATGATTCAGCAATTGCAATACCCTATGGGGTATTTACCCAAGAATGCAAGAACATTAATTCAAAGGGTTACTTGCATCCCTATGTTTATAGCACCATTATTTATAATAGCCAAGATATGGAAATAGTCCAGGTGTCCACTGATGGATGGATTGATAAAGAAGATGTGGGTGAGGCACCTGGGTGACTCAGTTGGTTGAGTCCAACTCTTGTTTTTGGCTCAGATCATGATCTCATGGTTCGTGGGTTCTAGCCCCACATCGGGCTCTGCACTGACAGTGTGGATCCTGCTTGGGATTCTCTCTCTCTCTCTCTCTCTCTCTCTGTCCCTCCCCTGTGCATTGTCTCTCTCAAGATAAATAAACCTAAAACACTGTTAAAATCTCTTTTAAAAAAGAAGATATGGCACATATATACAATGGCACATTATTCAGCCATAAAAAGAAATGAAATCTTGCCATTTGCAATTGCATGGATGGGGCTAAGAGTATAATGCTAACTAAGCAAAATAAGTCAGAGAAAGACATATACCACATGCCTTCACTCATATGTGGAACTGAAGAAACAAAACAAACAAGCAAAGGGGAAAAATAAGAGAGAGAGAGAGAGAGCAAGAAACATATTCTTAATTACAGAGAGCTAGTGGTTAATTACCAGAGGGGAGGTGGGTGAGGGGGGAGGTGAAATAGCAGCGCACTTGTTTCAATGAGCCACAGGGTGATGTATGAAGTGCCGAATTACTGCATTGTTCACCTGAAACTAATATAACATCCTGTCACCTGGAATTAAGATAAAAACGTTAAATAAATAAATACAGTGAAAAAACAATAAAAGTGATTTCCCCCCGGAAACTCAGTTTCCATTAAAGCTAAGACTTTCCTAGCGTCACTGAAGGGGAAGCGAGATTTTTCAGAGCTCGGGGGGAACCAGCCAGAACAGGATTGTATCTGAGGCTACAGGGACTCTGTTCTCCCAAGAGTCAAAGGTAAAATACCCTTTCCCATCCAGCTGACAGGTTTCCCGCATTGCAAGGGTGTTGAGAGACTCAAGCACAAAACTGAAACGCGGGTGGTGGTGCTTCTCTGTCAAAGCCCAGCCACCGAGTAAAAGTAAGAATTCTGACCACCCGGGTGCTTTGGAGGGCTGGCGTTTGGAACTGCCTTTGTCGCAGCTGAACCATAACCTCTAAAGCTGTCAGTGACCTGGCACCTGGTTCTCAAATTCTAGCATACACTGGGGTAACGAGGAACACCTGTAAAAATGCAGCTTTCCGGACCCCGACCCCAGGGCTTCTGATGGAGTCTCTGGGGATCTGCATTTATGACAAGTACCCGGTCGGCCCAGGGCCCGCACTCCGCGAACCCCCGCGTGTGCGGGGCTGGGATTCCACGGCGCCCCCTCGGGTGTGTCTGCTCTCCACTTCCCCTTCGGTCCCCTCCAGGGCCCCAGGGAGCAAGGAGACCTTTGTTAGAGTCCAACCCCGGGCGCCTTATCAAGCTGCTGACAGCCAGGCCTCCTGAGGGCCTGTCCAATGGGTCCCTCCCACCCGCAGCCACTAGCAAAATCCAGATAAGGCTATCTCGGGGTCACGCGACCGCCCGCGCCCCCGGGGCTCCTCTGGGCCCCTCCCGCCTCCGCCCCCGGCTCTCGGGGCGCCGGGCGGAGCATGCGCGGGGCGGGCCGCAGGGCCCGCGAGGGGCGGCGCCAGGCCGCGCGTCCCGGGTCAAGTGACTCGGGGCGGCCGGGCCGCGCGCCGACTGCGGAGCCGAGAGGCCGGACGATGGGCTCGCGCGGGGTGGCTCGCCTTCTCCCTCCGCTGCTGGTGCCGCTGCTGCTGCTGCTGCTGCCGGGCCCCGCGCGCGGCCTGCGCGTAAGTCCGCGGGACCCCGCGCGGGGGTGCACGGGGAGGGCGGCGGGCCGCGGGCCTGGCGCCCCGGAGCGCGCCCCGCAGGCCGGCGGCCGGCGCCGCGCAGGCGGTGGACCGGGCCTGCCGCCGGGGCGGGCCGGGCCGGGCGGGGCGCGCGCCCTTCCCGGGAGCTGTGTCGCTCGCGTGCTCCGCCCGGTTTCCCCTTTCGTTTGGACCCACTTCCCCGTCGGTGCGAGGACGGGGTGACATTAGGTGCGCCCCAGCCTCTCCGGCCTTGCAGTTTCCCCGGAGGGGATTGCCGGGAGCGCGCAGTATTGGAGGGCGCCGTGGGCTCCGGCTTGGGGCGCCCTCCCTTGCGCATTTCGGGCGCTGTGGAGCGCTCCGGAAGGGGAAAAATGGGGTCAGGAGAGGCCCCCGCGATGGAAACGTTGGACTGATTTCCTTCGAGGTGGGGTCTTTGCGAACTTCTCGGCCCCTTCTCGGCACTCCCTGCTGCCTACTTTGGGCTTGGAATTTCCCGGTCTTCGGGGTTTGGCGGCGCAGGCCGGGGGTGGGCAAGAGGTAGGCTGCAGGGGGCAGCCAGCGATGCTGGAGGGGGTCTAGCGGGGAGCGAGGGGGTGAGGGGGTGGGGGCGTGCGAGGTTGGTGGGGGACGATGGGCAGCTCAGTTAACCAGTCAGAGCTAACGCAGGGGCCCTAGGGGCTTCCAGACCGCGGCCTGGGGATGTCGGCGTCACAGCCCAGGAAAGACTGGGGGGTGGGGGTGTCGGACGGACTATTGAAATGGGCACCTGCCTCTGCACGTTCAGCAGACCAACGGCGGTCCCTCCAAAAGTTTGGGTGGGCCGAGGCTGGGGCGTGTTTTCAGTAGAAGGTGGTAAAATTTGGGCCCATTGACTTGTAAATTGCACCCCTTGATAAAAGGCTTTCCATACCTTTCGTAGGCAGAGAAGTCATACATGTATCTAAAAACCAGGGCTGACAATTTTAAGTAGTTGCAAAACAGCTGCTGAAAATAGTGGCCTTTGGGGTTCTTGGGGAAAGAGCACCTCAAATTGAGTTCTTGGTAACTTCTGTCTCTGGTCTGTGGTTTCCACGCTCCAATTCTTTTTTTTTTTTTTTTTTGTCTAGAAGGCCTGGAGGAGCCCTTGGGTGAGAGCTAGGCAGCTGTGAGAACCACTGGCCAGGGTGGGACTGGGGAACACTTCTGGGGAACAGCGGCAGAGAGAGATGAGAAGGGCAAATCTTAACCTGTACCAAGGAGGGTTGGGGGAGGGGAGAGGTCGGCACTTACCAATGAGCTTGTGGACCGGGCAGCCCCTTGGAAAAAGGTTAACTTTATCCTAATTGAAACAAAATTTTAAAATATTTATTAATTTATTTAAGAAATAACAAACCATTATATGTTCACAAACTATATATATATATATATATATTTTTTTTTTTTGAAAAATAACAGTATTTCTCCCCAGAGATCAGGAGGAAGAGTAGCACTGGTTTTGCATTTTTGCAAATCTCTTTCACGTCTGTCAATAACAGATGATGGCCGGGTACACTCAGTCTTGCCACGTCACGTGTCACGGAGCCTTGGAAGGCTCCAGCATACACTTGTGAGAGACTGAGAATGGAAAAGGCAGTTACACAGTCCGGTGTTACCGTGGAAATCATTTTGCCTAAGTGGTCCTCCCGCGAGGGTTGCCCGGACCACACTTTGAGAACTGCTCATTTAGAATAATGTTTTTCTTATTATATTGAAAACAAGCTCCTATGCTTTGTGGGAAAACTTTATATTCAGAAAACCGTAAGTAAGAGAACAGAGACCTGCCCATCATGGTACAATCCGCTGCGTTTGTGTTTTCATAATAAAAAGCGTAGCAACTGCCGTGTTTGAGTGGCTTGGATTCAAGGCGGGTTGGGTAGACGTGAGTGGCCTTCAGGGTTTGAATGGGGACAAGGAAACTCTAATATCCCGCAAAGCTGACGCAGGTTCCTGGTTGCAGGCGGAGCTGACCTGGAAACCTGTCCTTGGCCATTGTCCCTTCTAAGGAACTCACCTTCCAGAGCCCGCCTGCACAGAGCTGCCAGGGGACCCTCTTAGGAGCAGAGACAATGGCGACCTTCAGGCAGCTGTCCCTGGGCACGAAGGCCGCCCTGGCTGCTGGCACTGTGTTCGTGTCCATGGTTGCGTCCCGCTCCTACCTAGCCGGGAGCCTCGAGCTCCGAGCCTGGCGTTGGCTCTTCCGCCTGCAGCTCGCCCTGTTTGCCAACTCGCTCATGCTCATTGGCTCCGTCTACATCTGGCGTAGCACAGTCAGCAACCTGAGCCACTCCCCAGCTGCAGAGTCCGCCTGCTTTCAGCTTTGGAAGGTGGCCGTAGTGGCGTTTCTGGCGCTGGCCCATTCCAGCTTCTTCACCATGCTCTTTTTGGTGGCCGAGGAGCCCTACCTCTTCTCCTTGGCCGCCTACTCCTGCCTGGGGGCGTACATCATCATGCTCTTCTTCCTCTGTACCCTGAGTGGCGTGGAACTGGCCTATCAGCTCTTGGCCTGGCGCCGCGGTAAGGTCACGGGCAGCCTTGACCAGACGAGGAAGCTGGCGGTCAGACCGGCCCTGGCGGTGGCAGTGACCGCGGTGCTCAGTGTGGCCGGCCTTCTGAACGCTGCCCAGCCCCCCGCGGTGAAAACCGTGCAGGTGCCCATCCATCAGCTGCCTCCGTCCATGGACGGCCTCAAGATCGTGCTCCTCTCAGACATTCACTTGGGCCCCACGGTGGGCAGGACCAAGATGGAGATGTTCGTGAGGATGGTGAACGTGCTGCAGCCAGACGTCACCGTGATCGTGGGTGACCTCTGTGACTCAGAAGCCTCCGTCCTCCGGACAGCGGTCGCTCCCTTGGGTCAGCTGCGCTCCCGCCTCGGCACCTACTTCGTCACGGGCAATCACGAGTACTACACGTCGGATGTCAGCAACTGGTTTGCACTGCTGGAGTCCCTGAACGTCAGGCCCCTTCACAACGAGAACGTGAAGATTTCCGCCAAGGGGGCCCCGCCCAGGGGCGGCGAGGCTGATGACTGGATCTGCCTGGCTGGGGTGGATGATATTGAGGCAGACATCCTGCGTTACTACGGCCACGGCATGGATCTTGCCAAGGCCCTGGGGGGCTGCAGCCCGGACCACGCCACCGTCTTGCTGGCTCACCAGCCCCTGGCTGCCAAGAGAGCCCTGCAGGCGCGCCCCGATATCAACCTGATTCTCTCTGGGCACACGCACGCCGGGCAGATCTTCCCCTTGAACGTGGCAGCCTATCTCCTGAACCCCTTCTTTGCCGGCCTCTACCAAGTGGCCCAGACTACGTTCGTGTACGTCAGCCCGGGCACAGCCTACTATGGGATCCCTATGAGATTGGGCAGCAGGGCGGAGATCACGCAGCTCATCCTGCAGCGGGCCCCTTGAACCCGGCCCTGGCCTGTGTGCCTCCTCCGTGCCCTCGCCCCTCACCACCCGTTCCTCTGTCCCTCTTTAGAGCGGGTTGCCTGCTTTGCCCCCCTGCCCCCCGCGGCCTCTCCTGCCCAGCCCTGCTGATACACGCTTGGTCACAAGCCCAGGCTGCGCTCCTCTGTACATGGCCAGTTACTGAGTTCTCTGTATCTACGAGGCCCCCGAAGTCATGTAGGGAAGAACACGCGTCTCTTTTCCAGATGATATGGCGTGAAGCCCCCTCGTCGGCAGAGCTCATGGGGCTCCACTGAAACGGGGTTGCTGGAAAGGGATACCTCTAAAAGCAGAACAGCATTTTTAACCCCTCTTTAGGACTTGGGCAGCTTCCAGGGGCGCTGATCCAGAGCTTTCTGGGGAAGGGGCCGTGTTGCTGTGTAATCCAGAACAGGCAAGCCGGAGGCCCCGCCAGCTACCGGAGAAGAAGGGTTTCTTTTCCCTCTTGAGGTCAGGGTCACCTCTATTGAGGGCATCAGCCCAACCCGCCGGGACACAGGCCTCAGGTTGTTCCAGGGCCTTGAGTGATGCTATTTTACTGCCTGTGCTCTTGGGCCTTTGGGATTGGGGGGTGGGCTGGAAAGACCCACGAGCATAGTGGTAGGGATGGAATGGTACGGGTTCTGCTGCTGAGGAGCTCAGAGGAGGTTTGCCTCCTTGTCTTCCTTCATATAACACTTGGGTGAGGTCATAAAGGACAGGCTGCTTTTCCCTATTGGAAGGTGAGGAGACCGAGGCAGAGAGAAGCAGTCATTGGGTATGTAGGAGATTCTTGGCCAGAAGCTGGGTCCTCTACCTCCTTTCCCCTGTCCAATGGTTAAGTAGCTGTACCTGTTACAAGCGAGTGCAGGACTCAAATGCGCGCAGAGAATGAACAAGGGCTTAGAACCTCGTGGTCTTCCAGAGTGGCTTGCTTGAGGCTGATTTTAATTTATCCACGACTCTCCGGGCCACAGCCTGGAAAGGGGTTGGTTTCAGCGTGGGATGTCTGTTTCACTGGGAGAAGAGTCAAGAGACTGGAGTGCTCCTTCGTCCTGCCCAGGTTTGGGTCTGTGTTTTGTGGGACACTGAGGTTTGCTCTCCACAGGGGAAGTTGGGGGTCGCATGGGGGAGTGGCAGGGCTTAGTGCTGTCCCCCTGGGCCCCGGCCGTGGGCGGCTGGCACTGTCCTGCCTGCTGGGTGGCCTCCTCCACCACCCCTCCATCCCTCACCCCATCAGAGTTGTCCTAGGGCTCTGACCATCAGACCATAGTGCCGTGCAGCTGGGCTCTCGACCCTCTGCCGTGGACCCCACGCTGTTGGCCAAGCCTCTTGTGCCAGGGGCAAGACACCCCCTTTGACCCTGAGGCAGAAGGCAGTAAGCTCTCCTCTTAGAAAAAGTTGCACTGAGAAGCTTGAGGACCTCGGCTCTGCACTGACCCTTGTGATTGAGAGCCTCTCTCCACCGCCCTGCCTGGAGGGGCTCCGCTGCTGCTCATCGGTCAGGTAGCGTCCTGGCAAACGCCCTGACCT